GGCAGTGTCAGCCCAACATCAGCATCCTGCTTTCCTCTAATGAAGGGATCAGCAACTATCCCTGTACTCTCACAAAGGCTGAAAAATACCAGTGTCATTCTACAAATTCCAGATTCATCAATCACTGTCCCCAGCAGTTGTCATTCCAGACCTTGTTCCTTTAACATTTTGGTTGCTTCCATGATCTTTGCTAAGTCCAGCATCAGAGGTTCAGAGAGTAAAGGATAACTGGTAGGTAGAGCTTGGACAAAGGTGAGATGGACAACTGATGAGCACAAAAAGGTGAAGATCTTACCGGGAAGAAGTAGGCCAAATTACAGAACTCCTATGCAGGGTTTATGTTGAAGAATGCGGTGCTATTACCATATATTAGTATTTGGAACATGCACTATAGTCAAATAGGTTAAAATGGTGGTATAAAAACTTACATTAATAAATCAAAACTTGCTGCATGATAGTCTATATGCATTGAAATTATTATTTTCAAATATAACACCATATTTAGTGCATAATTTCTCAAAAGTTCTAGTCTGGTTAAGTTAGTAATTCATCACATCAATAAAGTCACTTCCCCTCAGCCCTTCCTTTGGTTGCTTCTTAAAAGGTGACGTTACAGTGGTCGCTACTCCAAGCTCTTCATCAAGCATGTAAGCTTTTAAACAAAAAGAAATACTTTGACTAGTCTGTGGTTCTCCTAAATTCACTAGTCAGAATACTTTTAGCAGGTGGGAAGAGTACTTCTGTCTGCAATCCACTAAGAGCATGTTCCATTAATAGGGTAAGTAGGGGTCTCGTATTTATAGGTTGGTGTAAGGATGAGTACTACCTCATATATGCAACACAAAGCATTATCCAGTGAGAAAAGATAGAAACCCTAGCAATTAATACTACTAGTAATGAAGCAGTCATTCCTCTGCTGCCCTTCCTCCTTCCCCCCACCCCGCCTTGTGAATCTAGTAGCAGGTGGTGGGAATAACAGAGCAAACACTAGCTTCTTGTTGCACAGTTATTTCTTCAGCTAATGAAGCCTTTTGAGAATACTTTTCAAGCTGCTTTTCCAGAATGGAAACCAGTGTTGCAGACTTAATATTATGTTGGTTATACGTGAATATGATTAAACAAAAACCCGAAAAAACCCCAACCAACAAACAAAAAACAAACCAAAACCACACCAAACACCACCCGCACCCCCCAAAACGCTGCACTCCCCAAAGGGTATTGTAAAAATTCTTAGTTTTACTAGTATTTTTAAATGTATAGTTTCCAGAGTTCTGAATATTGTGCACCTGTGAAAGGTTATTTTAAGTTAGCTTCTTACTGCCTGAGAGAGAACAATATGTAACTATTAGTAGGAGCTCTTAATAGGTTAGAAAACTTCTAACATCCCAAATGTGAACTAACTTGAACAAGAGGGATTTTTGGACTCCTGGATTTGTTTTCTGTCTCTCACTAATCCTATGTACAAAGCTGGGTGGGTCTGTAAGAAAAATCTGAATGTAATAGACTATCTTATCTATAAATCACTTAACAGTCAATGCCTGTCTGCCACAGAGGGAGGAGTATGAGGAAGGAGGGGATGAAGAGTGATAGGACAAAGCCTAAAAGTATTTGCATGATGCCTATACCTTCTTATGGACCATCAAGCATAACAGGGGTCAGTAGCAGATGTCCAGTGAAATGTGTAAAGCAAAGACGTGTAATACTCTTCCAAGTTCTAACAAAGCCAAAGTGGGTTTCTATTTAATAACCCAGTAGAATGAAAAAAAAAAAAAATTGGAAGAAAAAAGATGACTTCTGGAATCAGTGCAAACTTCTAGTCCCATATTACTTCCTGCCGTAAATGCAGTAAGAAATATTTTGTTAGGCTAAAGTGTGCATGAAAAACCTGCCTCCTTTTGTTTCTGAAACAAAAGCCTGCTGGGTTTGTTGGAGACCCCACTACTTTTTGTCTCAGAATGATTAGTCTCTGTTTCTTCCTTATTGCTGCCCCTGTGTCTTCTTTCCACGCTGGAGATTCAAAATTGTTCTTAACTTCAGATTGTGTTAAAATGATCAGGAGGCAAAATTGCTCTTTTCCCTCTAGCTACTTATCTTCTGCAAGTTATTTTTGGCCTAAACTTGCTTTTGCTTGGGAAGACGTTTGTTATTGAAAGCTTGTAGAAGTCTGCCAAAAGAGCCTTACTTTCTCATCAGTGCAGGAAGGAAACTCATTGCAGTACTAATAATGAAACTTCCTGGGTTAATAGCTGAAGATTTCTGAGTTTTAGTGAAGGAGAAATATTTACTGAAGGAATTAGGGTTTGGTTGTGGGTTCTTGGTTTTTTTTCTTTAGTTCTGTGAGCCTTTGAAAACATTCCCCCATCCTTCGTTCTGGAGGCTTTCCATATTTTAGACTGCTGCCTAGAACATAATATGTTGCTCCAAGAAATTTAAAAGTGATGTTTCTGTCCTGTTGACACAACCTAATTCCAGCTGTGGAAATGATGACACTCTTTTTCACACAATCCTCCGTAACCCCAGAAAAATAATAATTCTCTGCCTATTTATTGTGAAGGCTACATAAGGCGAGTGCAACTCATTAGTATACTTGGAGTTAAATGTATTTTCTGGATTTTCTAAATGTATAGGTTCATATAATTCTCTATCTTGTACACTTAATGACATATGTTTAAAATACAGTGTGATCCAGTTACAGTTGTAATAGAAACAATAATAGTAATAGAAACCCTAATGTTGTGGTGGTGCTTTTTTGTGCATTTTTGGGGGGGTTGTTGGTTAATTTCCTATTTTTTATGTTAATTTCTGGCATTACTGGTTGTTAGAAGGTATGTGGACAGCATGGTCATGGTGATGCTGGGGACTGCTTGTAGAAGTTGGTGCTGAGCTTGCTTTAGCAAGTGTTTGGTCCTTTGTGATTTGTCTGCATGGGAAAGCTTGTGTGCTGTAAATTAGGCTGTAAATTTGTAGTGCATTAGCTGTTACATGGCAAATGCCATGTAGGCATTTAACGAATACAGAAAACATTTCCATTCAGCAAGGATTCCTGTGTGATGAGGGTTCTGCACTCAGCTATTCTTTGCATGGTGGGGTCATTCACACAGAGGTCAGTATATAGTAGCAAGCATACTGTGAACTTGTGCTGTGAAACTTTGCCTGGTTTAATTTCGTGTGTATGCAAGGGGGAGGAAAACTACTTCGGTTTGGTTTAGGTTCGTTAAACCATTCCTCAAAACAAGCAGTGTAAAAACTCTTCATGTCTGCATATGCACGTCTCTAGATGAGCTCAGACCCCCACCTCACTTCAGCACCTGTTCATGAAGTAAGTCAGGACAGTAGGCAGTTTCTTATTAGGTAGCTGTATGTATTCCACACCTTGCCATCATTCCTAGGTGTAAACAGGAAATTCTTACTGAGATCCTAACTTTTTTTTCAGAGGTTCATGGTAGATGGCACAGGAACTCCACTGTTCTCACCTGTGTTGGTAACACATTAGATAATCTGCTGATGTGTAAAGTATAAAAACTTAAACCCTAAGGTGCGATCTGTCCAGAAAGAGCTATTGTGTTACAGTGGAATGAGGCAGGGTAGTCTGTTGCTACCTGCTATCTCAAATCCGTGGAGAAATAGAGGACTTTGTTTTCCAGCTCGGGAAGTCTGACACCTTTTAATGAGCAGTAGACTCACTTTAATATTAAAGCTGGGACATTTTTATAGTTGAGTGTGTCTTGTGTGTTCTTGAGGTGAGAGAATCATGCTGCAGCGCTGAGCCGTTCTGAGACCCAGAGGACAGAGCCGCGCAGTTTTACTTCGCGATCCTACTGCCTTTGAGAGCGCACAGTGCGCTCTTACAACCATAAGACTGTTCCTATCTGTGCATGTAAACACATAAATGAGCTGTTTTATACTGGCAATTAGATACTCCAGAGAGTTGTGAAGCTGTGAGATATTGCTTCACTTAGGGTGGTTGCAACTACTTGGCCCACAGCCTAGGGCTTTGTTGCCTGCAATAGGTGTTAGCAAATGGCAATGCTAATGTGCTTAATGATATCATTACTAATCGGCAGGCTGGTCAGAACAATTGACCTTCATTGATCTTGGTATTTCTGCTTTTATTTCTTCCTCTGCCCTTTATGACAAGCTGTGCAAGCTCTTTGCCTTTGAAAGGATGTACGCAGTTGTATTGTAACACTTTAATTTTAGTTTGACTGATTTGTTTTAATGAACGGTATTATGAATGATTTCTTTCTTTCTTTTTTTTTGTTTTAATAAATCAGTGTGCCATGCCGAATTGAATGCCATCATGAACAAAAACTCAGCTGATGTGAAAGGCTGCAGCATGTATGTTGCCTTATTTCCATGTAATGAATGTGCAAAACTCATCATCCAGGCAGGTAAGGAGTAGTGCCAGCTTGATTTGTCAGGGTTGCAGTGCTGCCTGCTCGTTGGTATCTTATCACAGATGTATTTGATGTTAAATTGCTGCTGTTAGTTCTAAATTAATTGCACTGTCAACTTCATAAGATGCTACTTGTGGGGGTTTTTTTGCATCTGAATGGTGCCAAATTTTTCCAGTGCTAATTGCATCTTCTGTGATTCTAAGCGTGCTTCTAATTTAGGTTTGTAACTTCTTAGACCAGGAGCTGCCAAAGAACAACACAGGCGTTGCATATAATTACTGTCAATTTTACTGTGCTCTGACACATTGAATAGAGTAGGGCACAAAGAAATAAACTTCTGCATGACAAAAGGTCTGTTGGGAGTATATACATGAAATTTTAATTTGAATGTGATGCATGGTAGATATTTGAAGATTTTAAAATATCTTTGCTCATAAATGTCATAAGACTTCTATGATCCTACTTTAATTATGTCTTTCATTACAATTGTTATAAATCTGTGCCACTGCAGCGAGTGTGCTGGCCTAAATGTGTCTCCTTTTTTTCAGATTAGGCAGTATCTGCAGTAGGCTTCAGTTCCATAAAAACCTCTGTTTACGTTAGCCTATATTTCGCTCATTGAATAAAGTCTTGCAATCCTGGCATGGATTGTTGTTCTGGGGAGTTTCTCTCACCACAAATGGCCACAGGGATCTAGGAAGAAAGTAGCAAACAGAACACTTTATTTTGGTCAGTAGGTTTAAAATGAAGATAGGTGAAGGGGGAAAACGACAGTATTCTGTATTTGTGCTACATTTCTCTTATTTATAGAATCAAAATCAAATGGTCTTCCAATCAGATTGGCTGCTTGTTCTGAATGTAGTCATTCATCCTTATGGGCTTAGGTCAGCGCTTAATTGCAATGTATGGATATTCATGTGGCCTGATAAACACAGTAAGATGTTGATAGGCTTTGAAACGCTTATGAATTCTCTTGGGTCAGCCTTTACACTTCTCCCTTGCCTAAGTAATTTAGGCATAGATCATTCAACAATTTGAGATGGCATGCGTTTCTGTGATTTGAACCTGGGATTGGGAGCTATTTATAAAACAGAGAACAAAAGGAGAAAGGCATCAGTTTATAGCTCTGCATTTGGAAGGGGAATAGGATTAGGAGTTTAAGTTCTTTGTGGGGAATTTTATCTGTATTAGAGAGGTAGATAAGTTTTCAATTACTTTTGCAAAAATGCTTCATTTCTAGTCTGTCTAGTGGTTTTGCCTATGAGGTTTTCATTCTGGTTTCCTGAGTTAAACTCAGGGGAAAGCAGAGAAAAACATTTTCCAACATTTTTGAAAGAACTGTCTGCCAAAATAGCTCTACCTTACATAGCCTTATTCTCAAGTACAGTCTGTAGTATTTTGGGAAGTAGAGGTGTACCAAAGAGTTCTAGACCATGTGGATGAATGCTGCCTCTTCGGATTCTGTGCACCAGACATTATTTCTGGGTTTTTTTCGATGTATTTCTAAACTTTTTTATTTTTCTATATGACCTTTTTAGGCATAAAGGAAGTTATTTTTATGTCTGACAAATACCATGACACTATGGAAATGACAGCTGCACGGCGGATGTTTGATTTAGCAGGTATTATATACAGGTAAGAGAACCTTGGATTAATTTAATTTTTATTCTGGAAAGGAAGAAAGTTGTGTGTGGAAGAGACCAACAAAAGTTTTTCTTTGCTTCATGCAGCATTTTATTCTTTGGTAGTATCTGTAGATGGTTTTCTCTCCATGCCTGCAAAAGATAATGGATTGACAGACTTGCACCATTCTTTTTGCCTTCAGTATTGTTAAATTTCAGTTTCATAACATTTGTATGATATAATAGTCCATTTGGAATACTCATTAATTCCTGGACTGCAAGTGAAATTGCAAGTGTGATGGTTACACTGTACTCAGGAGAGTCATTGCTACTTCTTTGAGTAGGAGGTTAGACAAGATGATTTCCTGAAGTCCCTTACAACCTGAATTATCCTATGATCATACAAGTTGGACTGAAACGACCAGTTGATTTTTATTTTGTCTGTAGATTACTTGATCCTTTTTGGAACTTTAATATCTTTTTGTTGCAGTCAATTTGGGAAGGTGTCATTATAGCCACCCATAATTAATTCTCAGTGCCTATAGCTGTCCAGTCTTCTTTGGTCAGCTGTTCTTGAAAGCCAAGGGTAAAACTTGGAATATTTGCCTGAAAGTAATGACAAACTGAAAAATGTTTGAAGAGTGGGGGTTTTAAAGACATTGACAGGGATACCTAAAGGCAATCTGTTCAACAGCTAGTTTGATGGCAAAAACATGCTGTGGGTGAGGCTAATTATGCAGTGAGGGAGGCTTTGCAACTCTAAAAAGTTCTACAGTATTAATATAAAGACTTCGAAAAATTTGCAAACATAACAATTCTGACAGATAGAATTTTAGGATGAAAGGTGCCTACTGAGCTAAGAAATGTCCATGAAACCACACAGCAGTATTTGAAATTCAGTTTTAGTCCTTCAGTGTGTTTCCTGCCTACTAAGACTATTTTGACTAAAAAAGTATAAATCATTCTCTTGCAAATCAAACCTTGTAACTTCTCCAGGGTGAGAGTGTTTCTTGCATTTCAGATTGCTATTCTGGGCAAAGCATTTAGAATGGTCAGCAGCGTGTGCTTTTTTGTGTTGACTGTTACTCATTCTTGTATTGATTGTTAAGGATGTAGGTGGTACTTAATGAATCTCTTGAACTAAACTGCAGAGCTTAATTAGGCACTAAATCGACACTATTTGCATAATCCTTTGTTTACTGGTAGACTGGAAAATATATGCGTGGTCCCCAAATACCTTCTTTGCTAATTGCTGTAGCAGATGCTCTAATGATAATAAAAGGAAACATTTTGTGGCAGTATTAATTTTACAGTTCTAAAGTTACAATTTTTAAATGATTCCCTCTTAACTAGTTTGGGTTTTCCCCAGTATGATGCATAATGTGATACATTCCCTTAGCTCAATAAAATAATTTAACATATTGAGATGAAGTTTGAAAGTGTTCTTTGAAAACTTGGCAGGAAAAAAGTGATCAAAATATTACCAAAATATATTCCAAATATCTTTAATATATACATATGTGTACATATATGTTTATATGTAATGCATCTGCAGTATATTATTGGTTTTATTTATATATATGTGTACCTATATCTGTAAATATGTAGTAAAAATATTTGAAACATAAATCTATATGAACAAACATCCCAGCCCCAGTAACATGATGCCACCACCTGCAGCTAAGTTGTTAAAAGTCCTTTGACTCCTGGGTAATTTATGAACTCCAATAGCCGAAGAACATACAGGCTAACCCACCCCATGTGTCTTTTTTGTCTTAGTCTTTCTTGTCCAGGTTTCTCTCAGTGTGGAGCACTATAATTGGCTCCCATAGAGATGAAAACTATGTGAATCCAAGGAGGTTTTTTTTTTATTTTTTTAATTCCTTCAAAAATTTAGCTGAAGCTAAAGCAAGCAAAATGTTTTAACTACTCACTAACTAATATCCGTATTTTTCTTTATTTTAGGGAATTCAAGCCAAAGTGTAACAAGATCATCATCGACTTTGATTCAATTAACAGCAGACCAAATCAAAAGCTTCTGTGAATTAAGTCTCATTAAGTCTCTAGAAGAGTGTGATTATCCTTTTCTAAAAAGCTGCTAATGCCTTTCATCTTGAAGTTACTTGCAACTTTTTAATGGCTTCTGTAGCTAAAGTAGACTTCTAAGAAATCCAAGGCATAAAATGTCCTCCTCACTTCATCTTGTCACGTGAAATCTAAATCTCTTTACATTTTTTTAGCACCTTTATCAAAACTGCTTAAAAAGTCTAGAGACATGTTGATGAGACAACATAATGTATGTAAAGAAAACTGTTCTGATTCTTGCTCTATTCATCACCACATGCTCTGATAGGCTGTCAGCATTGATTTAGACTGAGTTTAACAGTAGTACTTATTGTAACTGGTAGTATATTGGAATACACTAATATCTGTTGATCTCTCTGTTGCATGTGAGGATCTAAATACTTGATCCTAATAAAGGACAAAAAAATGTTTTCCTTCCAACTAGCATAACACTAATATTTAAAAAGTGATACAGCTTTAAGAATGTGTGATATTCTGTATGCATTATCCAACAAATTAAATCCTCATTTTCCTTTTGAGTGCTGTGTAACACTGTCATACATGGGGATGGATGAGAGAGGGAGTTCTGGGAATGGTCTGTACTGGACCAGCTTTACAGGGGCTTTCAGGTCCTTGTTTTCCCCAAGACTCCAGAATTGGAAGGGGTTCAGGGAGTAAATTATTTGTCTCTAAGTTTGGGAATCTTACTTGGAGTTTGTTTTCATGTGTAGAAGGAAATCATTTTATTGGTCTAAGATGTTTCTAGGTAGTCCCAACATAGTTCAGTCTTAAAATGAACCTGTAAGGTAACTGAATGATTTTTTGTCCTTTGAGAGAAATTGGAGATAGTCAACCCATATCCATATCCATGCCAAAAGAGGTAGTTATGGTGTTAGCATGTTTCCCAGTGCTGGTGTAGTACCTTCATTTTCACAAATGCCACCTAAAATAATATCCTTTTTAATTTTGTCTTGAGATCTGGGAATAGATTTGAGTTCCTTTTCTCTAGTTTGATTTTTTCAGATTAAATATTCCTAATGGCTTTATTTGGATAGCACTGGTGTTTGGGTTTTTTCCTTGGTTTGGTTTTTTTGTGGGGTTTTTTGGGGAGAGGGTGGGCAGGTTGATTTTAAATGTGATTATGCTTCAGTGAGCTTTTATTTTTCTCTAGAAAAGCTTTGTTTCATATTTTGGGACATTATGTAATTTGGCTTCAGACCAATATTATTAAAGTCTTATTAAAATCCACTACATTGAAGTAGACTCATTATTATAATATTAAGCCGTGTGCTTGGCTCCAGAGTGCTGCTGTTTTTGCAATCATATGCAAAGCATATTTTGTGCATTGTGATATTACATAAAGTGAAGTGTTCATGAACCATTTGGCTACTAAAGGGAGCACTGTAACATATTATGTGTCCATTTACAAAGTAGTTTCTGACTTTCTCTTTTTTGTTGTAACTGTTTTCACCTCAAAGTCAGTTTGTGGCTTACTGCCAGAAGAAGAAATTTGCACATATGTGGAGGGGGAGGGTGAAACCTGAAAAATTACTTTAATAAATTGTCACTAAAACAGCTTATGCACATCTTTTTCTTTGGCCTGAATTAATAAGTAGAAGCATTTTGAGTTCTACAGGTCTGACAATGGGACAGAGGGGACAGAAGAAAAAAAATTTGGGGGTTTGGCAACAACAAACCTGTTTTCTTCATAGATAAATGCTGATATAAGTTCAGACTTAATACACATGCATTGTGGTTCTGATTACTTTGAAGTACTTCTATGTCAAGCCTTGAATAATGGGAATGTATAATGTGTATAAAAACTCTGGAGTGTCCTGGTATGACTAGGAATGCACTACTTTTCCTAATGACTTTTTTTTCCCCTCCCCCAGGACTTTCCTGTTTGTGTAACAGAAGAGCAGTATGTCTGTTGTCTCTCATCCTTCTGTTGCACATGCCTGAAAAGAAGTCTTGTCTGTCTTCTCTATAGCCACCCATTATGCAGCTGAAATCAGCGGTTAGGTTCCCCTCACCTTTAGCCTCCTCGCTGAACAAATGCTGCACTCTCATCCTTTTTCAGTGCATCATGTGCTCCATCCTCCCACCATCTGAATGTACCCTCACTGTCTGGCTTGTACTGGGGAGCCCAAAGATGCTGCTGCTCTAGGTGTGGTCTTACATAAACAGAGTAGAGGAGCACGAATAATCACTTATGTTCACCTGCCAGATAGACACTTTCTAGTAGAGCCTGGTATGTGGATAGCTTTCTGTTTTGCAAAGGCACTTCATCTCTCGTCCACCTGGATTTGTCCCCTTTTCTTCCAAGGAACCTTCCATCCAGTGGGAACTCAGCCAGCAGAAAGCTGTTCTGTAGCTGATGCAGGACTTCATCATGTTTCCATCAACCCATTCCTCCAGCTACTTACACAGCTGGACTTTGAACCACTGACTCTTTGAGCCTGATGGCTCACCGATGTGAATCTTCACAGCTCCCGTCATGGCCAGCAGCACCACTCCCATGGTGAACCACCCCTCCAGCCTGACAGGGGAACTGCAGGCTGAGGCTTTGTTAGGGATTGCTTGAAAAACACAGAACAGGAAGCCAAAAGGAGACTCTGGGGAGCACTTTGGTAGTTACTTCAGGAGCATTAATTGAAGGAAGAAATCACATTCAAATAAAATGCTGAGATTCTATCCAGCTCGATATAACTCTATCTTAACAGTTAAATCTAAATCCTGCCACCATCTAGATTTTCCTTCTAAATTATTATTTCATCCCCCTGTTGAAGAGCCCAAGGAACTGGCAATCTTATTTACATAAATTTCATTTAAGGAAGGGTGGTTTCCCGGGCTGGCACGCTGAATGAGGGCGCAATCTCCATCTCTGAAGCTTTGATCACTCACCGACCATTTTATTGCTTTGTATATTAGCAATATTTTCACAAAGATAACAAAAAGTATGCTGCAACCAGTACAACTGTTCTGATTTCCAAAATAGCCTACGATAACGTTGGCAATAAAAACTCTGCTGGTGCATCACTCAGCCTGAAAGCTCTGTGTAACTTCAGAGTTTGCAGTAGTTCATCAGCTACCAAAGTGAATTTCACAGGGATTTTAAACTGTTGAGAATGAGCAAAATAAACAAAAGTTCTGAGTTGCCACTCGGTGATTCTCTCTGAAGCTGGGTGCTGCGAGTCTTTGTGCAAGTGAGGTGAGACAAAGCACAGAGGCCTCACTGATCACCCTGAAGCAGCAGCCACAGGGGGCTGGGTCTCACCCCAGGGGCCTGGGATAAGTTTATGAGGTGTGGCTGGGGCTGTGGGGAGCAGGTGGGTTGCAGGGACTGTGGGAGTTGCTGTTGGGTGGTGCGAGGCTCATGAAAGGGCAGTGAGCAGTAATGCAACAGGCTTGTCTTGCATTTCTGCTGCACTGGGAGCACCTAAGGGCCAAGTACCAAAGTGACCACAGCTGAAAGGCCGTTTATTTGCAACTGTTTCTTCACAGTTGTAGGTAAGAAAAGGATTTATATAATACAATGCTGAAAGTGTGAGGTACCAACTCCTCTCTTCAGTGGTGATGGCTCAAAGGGTTTGTACCATTAAAGCCTCTTTTAGCAGATTTCTCCATTTCTTCCCTTTAAAATCCACATCTAGCTAATGTGAAACTGATTTCAGAACAGAGAGGTAAAGCTTGTTTGAAGTGCTTAGTCTGCATCTGCTCCACGTCCTCAGCCTTGAGAATGACTGAAAGGCACAGGGTGGAAAAGTGTTGAACAGGACTGACTGTCTAAGAAACCTTACACAGAATCTTTAAATCCGCGTTCCCTTCCTTTTACACTGCACTTACCCGTTTACTTTCTCTGGCTTGAAGGAAATGGGGAGGGGGAAAGGATTTGTGAACTGTCTCTGCCTCATTTAAAAAACCCAACATCTTCCTGGCATTTGCAGCTCAGTTAAACAGCAGTGAAAGTTTTAATGAAGCATGTGGTTAATCAAGCTATGGAAGAGTGCAGCATTTGACTTTATTATTATTATTTTTTTGCTGGAGCAGGAGCTTAATCGCAGCGGCTTGCTTCCCAACACTGCTCATCCTCAGCAGCAGCAGATTTATGTCATCTGAGTGCTTCAAAGGCACTCATGTGGCTGGGCTTTGAACCCCTTCCCTGCTGAGGAGGTATCCCATGAAGAAGGCGCCTTGGGCAGCTACATGCCTGCGAGACACCTCCAGATAATTGTGGTGAGAGGGCTGCTGCCTGTCACTCCCAATAATGAATAAGAAGGGCACCATCTTCCTGCGAACTGTGCAGCAGAAGGGCAACATTTAAAGTGGAGCTATATGTGACGGGGTACATGAGTTGCAGTGATTTGCTTTGTGTCTCTACCTGATCTTTTTCCTTTTTTTCTTTTTCTTTTGAGGCATTAAGGAGTAGGTTGGATTGGGAAGCTGCTACTTCTGTCTCATCTGCTTCAAGGTTTGTGGTGGAAAATCTGCCCTCTGTCAGGGCACTAGTCCTTCTCATTCAAGTATGAGGGAGAGAAAACTCAAGCTCAATGCGCTGGGTTTTTAGTTGTTGACATTATTTACTGTGCTCTTAACAAACAGTGCCCTAAGGAGAATGAGAGTAATGTGCTCCAGCAGCAGAATATGCATAATAAAGAAGCAATTGCCTACGGTTTCCTGGGATTTCTTACACCAGGCTCTCTACCTCCCTATTCCTTCATTGTTTCAAGCTAATGTGTATTTCAGTTCTGCCATGCAAATATTCAGAAGGGCTCCCTGAACCAAAGGAGAGAAAATGAAATATATTCAAATCACTGCTTCAGTGGCGTAAGTTGTGTCTTGGTTTGCCAGAGACTTGGGTACCTTCTTTACTTGGCTGTATAACTCTGCTGTTGCTGCTTGTTGACTCGTGCTGAAGTCTTTTATGTGGCATATCTTGTTGTGAGCAGGGTTCTTTCCCTCCACTGTTCAATCAAGTCTGACTGCTAATCAGAATGTTGCTGGGTAAACAGGACTGATTAAAATTAAATTTTTAATTTTGTGTTGTAAACAATATGGTACTTTAATATTTGTACTGTTATTAAAGTTACCAATAATAATGCATCTGGTGTTTTGTGGGGCGGATTTCATATTTATTTCTTGAACTGCTGACAAGTTTTGCTAAAGAGCTTCACATTCAGATGCCAGGATTTTGTATTCTATGTATTCCCTTTTTCAAGGGTGACTGCACCTAATTATATTGGATATAGGTATTCTATTTATTCTTTCTAGTTTTAAATCTCATGAGGAAGAATTGTGTCTGTTACAACTGGGGACATTGCACTGTAAGAAACAACCATATCATCAATGCCTTTGTCTGTGTGAATCTGCTTGTTGCTCTTAACATTGCTTATCTACCTCGCAGGGGAGAAAACTCAGAAGCTAGTTAGGTGTGGAAACACCTTACAGAGTGTT